ATTTTAAAAGGATAGAGTTTTGTGTGCCTTAATATAGTTGAAAATTTTAAAAATATTTAAGTGAAAGGAGAGCTTTTCTGCAAAGATAAAGACTTGCCAAAAATAAGCCGCTTTATTTTTAGTATGTGGACCTTCAAGAAAAGCTCCTTTGCTGGAAAAGGCTCCCTCTCCTCATTGTCGGGGCACGTCCAGACGAAGCCTTCACTGCTGCAGCCGCCGACATTTCTTACAAATATTTATTTACGCCACTGCAGTTTGAAAACAAAATCTGACTTGGTTACAAGCATTCCTGCAATTTATTAACAAATGTTCAGGGATACAGGATTGAAGGAAATCTTGCCAGTCTGGGACCATAATTGTTTTTTTTTAATTTCTTTGTAAAATGAGCTTCATCAGCAAGTTCTATCATTACCTTCTCTCTGAAGAAGATTAAAAACGACATTAATCATGATTAATAAAGGTAAGTTAGAAAATGATAAAGCGAAAATAACCACTTGTCGAAGATCTTTATCCAAGCAGAAGCCAAATCGTTTCCGTGCCTGTTGGGCTGCGTCCTGAAAGGAGTATCTGCCAGTTTGGGTTTCGGGATAAATGAGTGATTCAGTAAAATTATGGTGCTCTTAAAATTAGGCTCAGTTGAACTCCCTAAACGACATTTCGGAAAACTCCCTACTGACTACGCTGTGCAGACTCTAGGAGGAAAGCTGCCTGTCTTCTGTGCAGATACCGGTGAGGGATGTCCATCTCAGTCGCGTTTTTCTGTTTCCACAGGCTGAGATCAGCTGTATCCAGGAAAACAAAGACAGGCTGAGTGACAGCACCACAGGTAAGAGGAGGGGGCGCCTGGCAGTGGGCCTCAGCCACATCTCTAGTCCACGTCCACTTGAAGAGAAGCGAGGCCACGCCAGGGGGCTCTGGGAAGAGTGAGTGGAGGAGTGGTGCACTGTCAGGGGCCTGCCAAGAGCAGACAGGCTGATACACTGCCCATTCCAAGGGTCTTTATCCTGGAATTGAAGGCGTCTCTGCCCTTGAAGTGACTATAATGGCTCTTTATTTTCCTTCAGGCGCCCTGGTGGTGTCGTTGTGAAGCACTCAGCTACTAGCTAGAAGGTTGGCCATTCAAACCCACCGTGGGAAGCAGGCTGCTTCAGGAAATACTGCAGCCTTGGACTGGCTGTGGAGCGATTCTACTTTGTGCTGTCGGGTCCCTATGCGTTGACATGACTCCAGAGTAGCAGATGTTACTGATTTCTTAAGAACTCAGCTAGTAATCAGAAGGTTCCTGGTTCACACCCACCAGCCGTAGCCGTTCTGTGGGAGAACAGAGTTGGCATTCTGCTGCCCTACATGGTTCAGTCCAGAGAACCCTGTGGGGCAGTCCCGCTCTCACATGGGGTTGCCAGGAGTCAGGAGAGACTCAGCTGCCAAAAAACACCTTCACTTACCTCTGAAGTTTGAGCAAGCCCTTCAATCAGGAGGACAGATAACGCACGCCAGCGGTGTGAACAGACCACTGGCTTTGTCGTCAAGAGCAGTACGACACTTCTGCAGCTTACTGCAACTGCAGTTATCTAGAAAGATCACTTACTGAAAATAACCGGATATGCTTCCAGATTTTGTTGTTTAATAGGTTAGAAAGCAAAGACTTAAAGCAAAAACAAACTCACGGCCATCGAGTCGATTCCAACTCATAGCCACCGTGTATAACAAGGTAGAACTGCCCTTTCTAAGGATTTCTAAGACTAACTCATTTCAGGAGTAGGAGTAGAAAGCCTATTGTTCTCCCACCGAGTAGCTGGTGATTTTGAATG